TAACTCAGATAACTCGAATGTCCATAAAAAATTAGGCACCTTGTGTAAACGAGAGCACTGATTCCATAATTAACTTTTGTTCCATATTTTCATTAACAGCTGTGCTACTCTTTGGTCAATAAATAAGAATTCACAACTCTGAAGTATCAGTTTTAGCATACAAGTTCATCAGAGATTTTTTGCTTCTTTTAGTAGTGTAATAATAAACATTTCTTATGTTAGCATCTGTTTATTGATACTTTACATCAGACCTATTCACGCGAACGCTCATGACTTCTCCTATTTTATTTCTCTGTGTTCTTGTGTAGACCACGGCGCTAATTCTGCGTTTACACGTACAATGAATGGCACGTGGCAAGTGCAGAAAAAATCATCCCCTCCATTTCATTGGCAGTGATCCATTTATTACAATAGCTCCTTACAAGTGGTAGGAGACTACACGGTATATGGGGCCTCTCTCATGGACAGCCTTGTTCAACACCTATTTCTTAAAATATAATACGTTAATGTTATATAAAAAAGATAAATTATATTCAATTTATTATATAATTCTGTATCGTTTTGAAATTATTATTTCAGTTTTTGATTTTAGGTAAATTTGGAATTAGACACCTGCAAGTTCTTCTACTCTTTTTCGGAATGGTTATTGGATATTGTCTTCGAGTAAGCATGTCAGAAGCTGTTGTTACAATGTCAAAACGTACCAATGAATCAGCTAATCTTCACTACGAGGTAAACTATATATCGACATAATTGCTATTAAATAAATATATAAAATAAAAATTGTGAAATTCCGAGAAAAGAGAGTAAATTAGCTTAAAATTTCTAAAAATAAACGAACACTTTATCAAGTTTGTTTTCTACTGTAATGTATACATTTATGCGAATAGAGAATTATATCGATATTCAAATATTTTATAATTTCATGTAGAAGATAAATTTAATCTTGTTTTTAATTACTGTTATTAATAAATAATAATTGTTATAATAATAAGCATTGTTATGTGTTGCGAACCAGGAAAGTATTTTTATCCCCTTTTGCAAATCAAACCATTTAAAGAATTTATCCGCGGATATGAAATTTAGATAGTGCGGAAAGAAAAAAAAAACTGTTGAGGTGATTTTGACTTTACTGCACCGAGCGAACTGAATTGAGCGGCTGAGGAATAAAGTAAATAAAGGAAATAAAGGGAATGCATAAAGTGGTAACTCTCGGATTTTTATGAAACTTTGCAGGATCGATACAGAATCGAAAGTTGTACAGCCAGAGACTCACCTTTATGTATAGAAGCTTAATAGTTTATGAAATATTAAGTAATAAAGGTTAGGTTAGGTTTTGAATCAAACAGATTACTGGCCAGGGCTGTAGTCTGGTAAACGGAAAGGTCCGTGGTTCGAATCCACATTGGGTTCAAAGTTTTTTTTTTCTGTTTACTTTGTTCCAAATTAATTTCTTTATTGCATGTTTTAGTAACATTTCTAACGCACAAGAATGTGCAAAAATATTTTTTATGATTATACATTACATATATCGCATCCTCATGAATGTTATATATAGTAAAAGCAACTGAATTAAAAATATCAAAATTATTAGTACAATTATAATACAATATATACAACAATATAATCAAATACAATACAAATGTCAATACAATATTAATATAATTTTAACCGTTTTCTTTTATAATCTTTTATTATATATGTCGCATTCTAATGGATGATACTTATCGTAAAAAGAATTAAAACAAAGATTTCATACACCACGAACATTTTGTAAAATTAGTTCAGAAAATCATTCTTTGCACTGGAGTTTATTACCTAAACCGTAAAGTATAGTTTTAGATAACGCTAAAGGACCGTATGTAGAAAAGCAGTATTTTACATTCACAATAGATTCTTGGAATTAATAATTTGTATCGAAATTCAATCCACCAAAAAAAAAGTAATATGTATTTTTGATTCAATTGCTTTTACGATAAATATCCATGAGAGTATGCTATATGTATGTAACATATAATTATAAAAAATTTGTTTTGTATACATATTCTTATTTATTCAAAATGTTCTTAAATTCGATGAATAAACAAGCAAAAAAAAATGTTCAACCCACAATAGAAGTAGAACCAGGGACCTTTTGTTTGCCAGGCTACAGACATAAGTACTTAGCTATTACGCTAGCGCAACGACGTGCTTGATTCGAGAGCTTATTTCACATTTGGGCCCTCCCACCACCGACGAAATTCAATCTTTATTAATAAATATCTCACAAACTATTGAGCGCTACATCTAGAATTGAATCTGGTCGTATAACATTAGATTCTCTATCGACCTGCAAAGTTTCATAAAAATTCGAGTGTTACACTTCATGCGTTCCCCTTGTAAGCCTGACGAATTAAAAAGTAAGCACGTCGCGTTGAACACGATGTTTTTAAGTGAGTTATAGAGGACTTTTTGTCCTCTGTGCCTTGAATAATGAAAAATAGCGAAATATCGAACGTGTCCGAATTATCTGACCCCCAGAGTAAAGTGCCTGACCAAGTTCAGGCATCAGGCGTTCTCAACTGCGTAATAGCGTTGAAGGTAAGAGTCAATCGTGACGCTATAATCCGTGAAAACACTTGATGACCAAGTTTCGAAGACTTTCTTAGACCTTCCGTGTGTCGCGTCGTAGATCGTGCCTAAATCATTGCACCGAATCTCGTTGGCCTACGTACGTACAGTTTACTAATGACCAGACAACGTTCGAGGGCTGCGTTTAAATTTTTTCTATGTAAAAATGTGTAAATAAAAATACACACTTGAATTGTTTAAAAATAATTTTAAGAAATACTGTCGTGCACTATCGAAAACAATATTGAAAAGATCGGTGTATTGGTTATATTATATGTATGTAAATACATATCTATTACATACAAATGCTACATATACAGGTAACCCCCTAAAAAATGGCGTGTTACGCGAATCCGTGTTATACGAAACAAAGAACTAGTACAAAAAAGGGGGTTAGGTTCCAAAAATGGAAGAAAAACATACTATTATATTTTTATAATTAAGGGAAATATCTTTCATATACATACATAACATATTAATACGTATTAAATAAAAACAGTATGTATTTTTTATTTCCGCCAGGCATAGTTTAGGGCTGAATAATAGGGATTTAAGGTTGAATAATACTCACCCGAAAATTTGTAATCTATGTATAATGTAGTAAAAATAAAAACACAAAGTTTTCAAGTGCATGTACCTACTTAATACTGAAATGAACTTAAATTTCTAATAAATCTTAAAATTCTGCAGTCAAATCCGAAAAATTTCAAATGAGATATCTTTTTCTCTTAAAAGCCTTTATTACGTTCCGTGTTGTCCGGGTATTTCCCTAATTCTCAAACTGTGTTGGAGTGTAACCGTGTTCTAGGATGCCGTGTTGCACGAGGGTTTTCCCCGATTCTCGAGCCGTGTTATACGGGGGTTACCTGTACTTTCTCCAGTGATAAAGCAGAAACAAGCTGTCAGAACAAAAATTTAACCTTGAGTTTAATATTGGTAGTATTACAAGAATAAATACTCATTGTCAAGTGTATTTTATAAGAAACTTCACAACCACTATCAGTGATGTCAAAAATATAGACAAAGAAGAATCAACAGTCATTTGAAATAGTTCGTTCCTTTCAATATTATAAAGATATAGAAGCTTGCATATCACCTTTATATTTTTATCCGTATAAATAATTTTTGTGTATACATATTTACACGAAAAGCTATTTTTCGTATACAGTAACGTTTGCATTAAAATAATTTCAACGCACGATCAAGATCAATATGAAATTGAAATACTATTGAAAACAGAAATAACATTTTCACGATCGTCATATTCACTTGATTAAAATTTGATTTCAAATATGTACTTCAACCTGATAGATTTAATTAACGAAATAATTCAAATTATCGAGGAAAAATAATTATCTATCGAAACTGCTAAGTTTAGTGATAAGTTTGACAATACCTTCTGAAAGATCGATTTAAAATAGATACCTGCTTTAGCGATCAGCAATTATAAAAAAAATAGTAATTTGTCAATATTTATTCAACAAGATATTTACCTTTTCTGGTAAATGTGTATTTTTACTTTTCCGGCAATATATTAATATATTTGTGATTACTTGTCTAATTTACGGGAGTCGAATAAAAATATCATAGCACGTGTCCGGAATGATTCTGTTTTATTACTGTCGATATGTAGGAAATTTTGTAAACAACCAAAGCGTTTTCAAGTTCCTCTATACTATACGATACATGTAATATATTTAAGGTTGGATTAACTACGTCATTTTGAAATTGGATATCTTTAAACCATAGAATAGAAAAAATACGTTTATATTACACACGTTCGTTGACGGAGCTCGTATGACGTCAACTGCACAACCATTTTTAAAAGACGGTCTCTGAGGGGAAAGAAGGGATGAAGAAGAAGGAGGAAGAGGAAAAAAATATCAGTCTTTTATTACTTAAAAAATTTTAAAAACCAATTTTCTACATCATGGAATATATGGAGAAACAGTTGCACAGCACCTCGTATCTTGCAATTATTTAGTCGTTTAGATTCATAATCTTTTAAATCCAGCGTGTCTGGTTATTGTATAAATCGTGTATTTAATTTGATGCTTTATTAAAAAATTCCAGAAGAACTGACGAAAATTTTTCTTTTCGTAATAGACAGTAATGTACGAAAAGAAATATTTTAAGAAACTTGAAAATATTGTTTTAATTAAAAATGTTAAGATACTTTCCAATTCGTTCTGGTAGCATTATCATACAGAAGATCAAGATGGGTGCAGTAACTGCTGGAAATGCTATCTTTTCATATATTATATAACGTTATGAACGTATTATGCATACATATGTATTATTCACATGTAAGCAGTGGAAAAGGAAGTACAACCCATTAAAAATGTTTTTCTCGAAACGAGTTACCAACAGTTCTTTCATCAGTCAATATGTCGACATTTTTTTTTTAGACTTTTTAAAAGAACATTTATTTGCAACAGTTTCGATATTTGATGTATTTTAATCAGAATGTAATAATTCGTTCGTGTAAAGTATCGATCCACCAAGGCAGATAGAAAGTGTAGAAAATATTTATTATAATTAATAATCTTCGATATAAAATTCACATTGACCTTGACCTTGACTTTCGTGTACTGGTTTGATCGAATAAAGTAGCTCCGATGAGTAAGAGTGTTTCTTTCACACGTCTACCTTCTGTAATTGTACAGGAATGCTACTCGATATCTTATGCGTACGTGTCATATAGAACTATGCGTGTCACGCGAAACTGTGTTACATTGACTTTTATTTCGTTCTTATTTGATGTCGGAAAAAAGACAGAATAAGGAAAAATATTAGTTTCACCACTGGTGTTTGGTTTATATGTTATCGAACGGGATTTGATATAAGATAAGATGATAAAAGCACTGTTATTTGTGAAAGTTACATTGCACGATAAAACTGATATAAAACTATAATCATCATTCTTGTGGAGATACATGCCTGAAGGTGAATGCACGAAAAAATATTTATGTTTCCACCGAGATGTATTTTATAGTAAATTTCGTTTGTAAATGCATCTTTGTTGATCCAAACGCTTAAGTTCCCTTGAAAAAAATTTTCATAATTATTTTATTTTCTGAAAATCTGATATCACAATTTTTCCATATGTTGCGGAGAATAACACAGTCATGTTACACGCAATACGCAGTAAACGAAGTTGTGTTTTGGTCAAGTTTTGTTGCATTTTGATGTTTAACCATTTCATGGATATATTTCGGTGAATGAATTTGAAATAGTTCCATGTATCGTATAACTTTGTATAAATCTTCCATTCTGTTCTTGCGTGGAACCTGGATGGTATTATAGACGATAGGAACTACATTTCACGATAATAATAATTTTGTTAGTTCTTGCGTTTTTTACACTTCACATTATGGTGCTTGCAATTATTTATAAATCTATGTAACTTTGCCACATTTTGTTGCATCTAATCACAATTATTTCTGTTCCTATGGAATGTACAAGAATTCACGAAACATTCTGCACAATATCATATCAAAGTTTGCAATATTTATGCGGACAGTGAATGTTGTTACTATTTTAAAAGATAGGGTGAAAGAATCGTACAAATGTCAGTTGCTATTCCATTGCAGTTAATAAATTAAAAAAATTCTTCTTTGTATTATTACGATTAATTTATTCCTGTAGATTCAAAACATTTGTTATCTTAATAACTGCTGTTTCCAAGTTTATTCAAATTTGTTATTATTTTGATACATACAAAGAGCATAAATTTCTAATATAATGGTGGTGGTGGTGAAACACTGATTTTTGTGTAATGTACCGTATGCAAAGTATTGTAATACTTGTTTACATTAAATTTAAAAAACAAACAAACAATATTTGTAACAAAAATGAAAACTATAATAGAATATTTAGAACAAATAATTCTTTCTCTGACAATTAGAAGACATTAACATAGTAATATTTATTAGATTCTGGGTGGCATAAAAGTCCCTGATTTGTTTAAAGATAAGTCCTGAAATTTACGGAAAGTTATGGAAAATGTAGGAAAAGAGAATATTTGTGCTATCAACGAGAAGGTAAAACTCTAGTTTTGCGTGTTAACTTTTTATTTTTCTTTCTTATCCTCCGACTAACAAATCAAAAATAAAGTATCAAGGACTTTTGCGCCGCTCTGTATTTGATAAAACATAAGCACGGAACAGTTCGATTTACATCTAGCTAACTTTAATATAAATTACTAACTTATGATGTTCTCATTGACATGAGTTTATTTAAATGTCAATTCTATCGAAGTAACTTCGTAATTCAAGTTTTGCAGAGATTCATTGTTTCAGTGAAGTTTAACCTCCCGTTCGGTATCCCCTGAATTTAATCATTCGGTAAAATAAGCAGTGAGAGAAGTAATGTTATTATTTTGGATAGGTATTTGACTGGAATGGAACGGAAAAGTCCACGATCCTGAGTTCTTTCTTTTGGGGCTACACGGTAATGCAAATACCAAGTGGTTATATAGCAAGAGTTTGGAGCGGCCAAAAGTTACTCAGTTTTGGAATACTACTTTGCGGAATTTTGAACATTTTAACACCAACTGCAGCTCATTATGGGAATTATATTGCTGTCTGCATCTGTAGGGTAGGCATGGGTTTCTGTCAGAGTTGCCTCTTGCCATGCACCCACACCCTTCTTTCTAAGTGGGTGCCTCCGTCTGAACGAGCACGACTTGGTAAGTCTTATACTTTTGATGACATTACATATGTACCATGCACCCACACCCTTCTTTCTAAGTGGGTGCCTCCGTCTGAACGAGCACGACTTGGTAAGTTTTACTTTTGATGACATTACATATGTATATATATGCATTTCTTCGATTATAATTTAAGACGCATACCACGAATTGTTTTTCCAACCAGTTTATGTGATTAATTCTACCAGGATTAAACAGGAAATATCACACATGAGTCTTCATTTCGTTTCGGTACTCGAATAATTTACGTTCTACGTGACGTTTTTTCGTTGTTTTTGGCTTTAAATTGTTCAATGTATTTTTCAAATACATTGTAAATTTGCCAATGCAGAAGTGTGTATTTAACAGTCAGCCTATACGCAATATCTATAATATATGCGTGTTGCACTAAAAAAGAAGCGACGAAGAATTGTGGCTCACGATAAGCAACCTTGAATGACTAAAACTTGTGGCCTTTACGTTAACACGTGCGGTAAATGTACAAGTTGCAGCACCGATATGGAATTCAGATCAGTTATCTAATTCTCTACTGTTATGCAATAAGTATTGATTTAGCTATTTACGTACACACTATATTGAGGATTACATTAATTTTTTTCAACTAACTTTTTTAACGGTACCGCTGTTGTTGATGTTACTAAGTTTCGAGTATCTTTAAATTTACGTTTGTCAAACATTCCAAGTTCATCGCTAGTGTAGAACCGTTCAATTTTATTCGTGAAAGGCAAAACACATACTAACTTCTGTAATAGCTGCATTGACTTTTGATAACTTTTTTAGTTGTAATTAAATCGAATTCAAAGGAATTGCAAGAGAAGCGTGAAAATTCAAATACACAAATGCAAATACTTTTCTTACTTATTTTAACCATTTGTGCATTAATCGTCGATTAATTTTAAAACACTGTAAATGTACCGATTGAAAGCACAATTTCGTAAATTACAATTTCAATATAAGTATTACCAGAACTTTGTTAATTTCAATTGACATTTATCGATGTAAGAAGTATGCATATATTACCGATTGTAGGTATAAACATTTTCGCAATATTGTTTCCGAATTTTGCTAAATACGAATTGATACATATATTACCTATTAGAAAGAATTCTACAAATCTGTTCAACCGAACTACATTCATGATAACAGAATCAAAAGGTTATCTGTATTTTTAATTTGGTCTTTATTGCGAAATATGTTTATAAAGATAAAAAGCGATTTCGCTAAGTGTATTACTGTATTACGTTGCAGAATTGCTAAGGTCGTCTGCAACAAATGCTTATCGTATAATTCAATCGATCGTATAATTTGTTATTTAGCGTAAAACATAATTCGCTGCATAATTAATCTTTAAGAAAAGGAGTTCATATTATCATCTCCAATTTTATTTCACCTGATTTGCCTTATTGGAAATAATATGGAAGTGATTTAATTTCATATAACTACACCTAAAGGCGATTAATAATTAGTTACACATTGACGATGAGTGTGAGACTAATTCGTTGGCTAACAAAACTTTTGGATCTAATAGATACTGTTTTAAATTGCTCTTCCTTTCTTTTTCAAAGCGTAGATCAGAAAAAAGAACTAGGTTGAACATTATAGAGTTCGATTTTTTGTGTTGGTTTTTAAATGCTAGGCTGTTTTGATCTCCATCGTAAAGGAAAGACTAATGTAATTTATTGAACAGCAATTTTAATATTACATACTCATATATTACCCGTTTGAGTCCCACGCGCCGCATTCGCGCTCTTCAGATTTCATGTCGAAAAAACCCAGTGCATTTGAACGATACGGACAACTGACGGCGCACTCACAATCTGACGAAACGCGCTCAACTTTTCAGACGCACGTACGTCGCTTCGCTACTCTTTTTGTATACAGGGTGTCCCGTAACTCCTCGAACACCCGGAAATGGGGGGTTGCTGGGGTGATTCTGAACAACTTTTTCCTTTTCCAAAATCCAGTTTGAAGCTTCGTTTTCGAGTTATTAACGAAAAACACTGGCCAATCGGAGCGCGCGTAGAGCTCGCGCTCAGGGATGGACGAACAGAGATTCACCCGCGCGCTATCGTGAACGACGCGTACGCGTCACTTCTTGG